GTTTTGTGAAATTTCAGTTTATTGCTTCACTTTGGATGTGGGCCATGACTGCACAAACCCATCACCTCATGTGACCCAAACAGGACATGGATTGTCCTTATATTGTCACCTGCTTAGAGAAAGGCTTTTTTGTAGAAGCAGGCCAAAGAACATATTTACCTGCCGTAGCTTCTCTGAGTATTTTGCTGTGAAAAAAGTTTGACTTATTTATCCTAATAATATCTCTGAGGTTAATTCATATGGATGATGTCTTTCTTTGCTTGGCAAAGTAAATTTGGCTTAAAATAAACAGAATTATAACCATGGAAAAAAAAAAACCCAAACGGCTTCATATATAATCTAGTTCTAAAAAAACCTTTCTAACAAAGAGAAGACTATGCTGGTACCTGTAACTGCAAATGTAAACTTGGTTGGTGTCAGAAAAAAAAAAATTGATCCATTTTCTGCAATACAAACAAAAATAACAAGACTGATTTGAAGAAATTAATCCTTAGCAAGCCTTATGAGAAGAGTCTAACACTGCTAAAATCAGGATTTGCTATTAGTTTCCCATAAACTTTTCCCATTTGTTTTCCATAAATTTGAATTTCTTGCAATTTTTGTATCTTTAATATTTGTAGATGTAAGAGGGAGTGTGAATCCATTTTTACAGAAAACAAATAAAACTGAGTAGACTTCCAGAGAAGTCTCATTGGTTTTTTGTTTGTTTAGTTTTGTTTTTACTGAACAGCAGTGGAAGAAATGATAGTGCAGGAAGACCTACAACATAACAAAGCCATAAAGTAATAGACAGCATGAAAACTTCAAAATTAAGCCTTGTAACTGTGATTGTGCACTTGTGGGAACCAATAGTAATGACAGGCTTAAAGTATACATTTTCACACTGTCTTACACAATATCCCAAAAGCAAGCTAGTTAGTTATAGTCTGCTCAGAGCTGGAGGTGAGTGCAGAATTACTTGGGCAATTGTAATTAATAGAAATGGAGTTTCTGGGAAAGAAAACAGTTGCTAAATGAAAGGAAAGATCAAGTGAAATTTCAGAGATATGTGTTGGCTTTGCTACTGTTAAGAGTTTCATCTATGATTTTAATGCTGGGATGAGGCATTAATTCATTCACATTTCTACGACCGCAGTTTGGGATGTTCTGACAAGCACCTTCTGTAGTTTTGTAGGTGTCGTGGTTTTAAAGTATTAGCTAAAAAAATCACTAGAAAACTTACTTATTTCTTGCTGTGAGATATGGATTAGAACAAGAGCAAATCAGGCTTGAAACTTAAAAGGAACAAAGAAAGTTTATTAACAAGAGCTACAAGGATAAGAAACCAGAATAACACCTCCAGAAACCTTTTTTCCCCACTACCCAACCATTCCCTTGTGCACATGACAACACAAAGACAAAAAAATCCCTGGTGGTTAAAACAGTCTCAATTTTGCTATAGTCTTTTTATCAGTTTTTGTAGAGAAAAAGAAGTTGTCTTCTGCTAATCTATGGAGTTTTTTCACAAGAAAACCATTTTCTTCATGGCTTTCTATTTCTCTGATGCCAGCTGCCCAGAAATTCTGCCATCAGTTTTCTCCTCCCATTTCACATCACTCTGAGGTATGTATGGGTCAATGAGTCTAGGGATGTCATTTTTAAGGATGAGTTATTCAAAGGCAAAAGTTCTCTTCATCTGTTTTTGTGAGCCTCTCTGGAAACAGAAGTTTTCTCCTTACCTCTTAAAGGCCACAAATCTTCAACTATTACTTCTTTTTTTCTGTTCTAGCATCTCATAGGATCACAACTACTTCCCCATTTACTTAAATCTACACTTTGAAATACTCTATTCTTCCCAAAATACTCTTTCATGAATTAAAGGAGTTTTTTAGAACACTATTGTCCATTTCCATAGTTTTAGCAAAATAATATTCCAGCTTATTAAAGCATCTTCTTATTTCTCTCCCCATCTGAAGCTTAACTCCTTTCTTCGCTGTCTTTGATAGTTTATGTTGTCTCTTTACATGCTGATCACTCTCTCTCTTCCCCTCTCTCTGGAAAAAAAGGATTAATCTGCAAGTCTCATCTGGGTAATGAAAGGGTTAAAATCTTGCCCAGGTCTTGTGGCTGGCTCTGTGATCTTTGCCGAGCAGTGGCTAGAGCTGTCTGTGATGGAAGATTTTTTTCACGGCTGCTCTGGAGGAGTGTGGTCACTGTCTCAGCATGCTGCAGGTCAGTGCCTTTCTCTCTCTTTACTCGGCAGTCTCTGGTGAAATTCAGCAGTGGCAGAACCTGCAAACCAAGCCAGGGAACCGGCCTGGCCCAGCAGCCCCACTGCACAAGGCCCAGCGAGCCCTCCAAGAAGGGGCTCCCGACACTTCACAGTCTCCATCCTCCCCAGGAACCCCAGAGCTCCGGCCAGCCCTGCTTCCCCCCGCGGCCTTGTCTGGCCCGGCAGGGGGAGGAGGCTGAACCGGAGCCCTGTTACCTCTTCAAAAGCCAGAAACCAAAGAAAGCAAGAAATTCCCAGGCTTAGGTCTTAAGGTGGTGTTCACAGGTTGATCTCACTTTTCAATGGTCAAAACCACTGTCAGTTCTCAGAAATGGTTAGTTATTGCCCAGGAGAAAAACTCCCATCAGCCTCCAGCAGTTTCAACTTCCTTAGCTCTCAAAGCCAGCCTTAAAGGTGCAGAACTTAATATATAACATAAACCCGGTGATTTGGGATACCAGTATCATAAAGTCACCCCAGGACAGTAGGCTGAATTAAAAAATGCATGGACTCATACAGGAACCTAATGGAGAGAATCCTGGATCATCAAAAAACCCCATGGAAACCAGAAAATGACAGAATGACAGAATGACACATTTGGATTAGGGTAATCTGGAGAGGAGGTTGATATTAAGCGTGAAAAATACAAGGGATATTTAGGTTAGAAGGTTGGAAGAAAAATTTATTAGTGGAACATTACAATATGAAAACTGTATTCCTGTAGGTCATTTGGGAACATATCAGATAAACACGAGTTAGGAATTTATTTAGTATATCTGGTGCTGCTTTTTATATAAGGCTTCTGATGCTTCTTTATTATTATTATTATTTTAAACAATTGAGTTTGAGGTTTTTTTAAACATTTTGATGAAGGAAACATTTTATTTTTATGCTGTAAACATATTTACCTTTTTATTTGCAATAACTGGAATTGGACTCTGGAAAATCAATGTATTTAGAAATAGTATGAATAGTATATGCAGGACGTGAACAAAAATATGGCTTCCATTGCAGTAGGGGTCCATTCTTGTAGCATCAGGGCCAAAAAGCTGGTGCACTCATGTCTCATGCAATGGTGCTATGTCTGTGACTTTAATTTTTATGGTCCTTCTGAAAACTGCAGTTGAGACATAGGACCTAACTAGGCATCAATCCTTCTGGGCCGACAGCCAAGCCTGGCATGTTTGTGCAAGACAAACAATGCAGTCAGAATGCCACAGACAGCTAGAAGAGATTAGAGAGCACATGAGCTCCTGGGTGTGTGTCAGTTCTCCCAGGACCACACATACTCTGCATGCATGCGAGCATGTTCCTGTTTTATGTTTAGTTTTCAAAGTGAGTGCTTTGGTAGTCAAGGCGAAACAAGAATTACTAGAAAACATTCTATTCTCCTTTTCATAAAATATACCGTAAAATTGAGAGAAGACTGGTCAGAAACCTTCTTTGTACTTCTCACTACTTTTTCTCTCACTCCTTGTTGTAACGTCCTCAGCTTAATGCTTTGGAAAGTGATAAAACCACAGAATGTCAACACTCAGTCAAAATCAAAGAACAGAAAAACTTACTGCATCCATTTGACCACACAGTTCAGATGACAGGCTCTGAATAAATCTTGACCTCACTAGAATATTTTACGAATCTCTCTTTAATGAGGTTGAGAATTTGCCCCTCTTAAGTGCAACTGCTTAAATATTTGATAAAGCAGTTTCAGTTGAGGACAAACACAGATTGTGTCACCTTGGAGCAACTGAATTAAAACCTTGTACTGCATATGCTATAAATGCAAAGGCATCAACCAGAGGCATGGTCCCTGGCTGAAATAAACTCTTGTGAATCTATTGATATTTAAGGGTCTAGAATCTTTTTACTCAACCTGTCTAAAAATGCTTATCAATGCTGTGTGGGTATCATTGCAAAAGGAATTCTTCAATTGTACAATTTCAGGTTAAGTGATCTTAAGAAATTCTTAAGACTCCTTTGAGAAGGCAACAGTACCTGTAACTGATGACTCCTACTTTCTGTATGTGTGTATCTATATGTGTCTATAAAAATCTGTGGACTCACCAGGCTGTGCACAGTACCCAGGGCTCTGAAGTCTCTGCCCAAATAGCTTCATGCAAATAATTTTACAATGGTGTTCTAAATATCACCTTATTCTGATTTTAAATGATTTTAAAACTATCAGTGCCAAGAAAAATATGGTTAAGGAAAAAATATACCTTTATTTACTATTTTTATACATTCTTAAAATAAGGAGTAATGTGTAACTCTGCAGACACTCTATAGATTGAGAAGTTTATTTGGTTTTTAGATCCATCTACATTTCAATTAAGAATTCATGAGAGGTGACTGACATTAAACTCCTTTGTTGTCCATGATGGCCAGCATATCTTGACCCAATTAGCTTTCTATCCTTTAAGAAGATTTTTCTCTATTCACCAGTGAAACAAACCTTTGGGATTTTTAAGTACATGACAAGTTTCAGTTTTAATTTCTCTGAGAGTGGCTGACACATGAGATCACCATAATTGCTTTAAAATGCATAAAACCCTAAATAAACATGGATAGAAAGACACTACATAAATAATGAAATTTTATTTCTACTGAGTATCAAGGTGTTAAAATAAAAAATATACTGAAGTTTAAAAATAACATGTGGAATGCAATATTTGAATAGCATGAGTAGCTGAGAAGCATAAAGAGAACACAACCCTAATTTCACCTTTTCTCCTGTGCTTATTTTTCACAGCGGCTGCAGTGCACAGAAACCACTGTGTGGCATCTGCACGGGGGATGGCACTGACTTGTCCCATGACACATGCAGAAGAGAAGCACTGTCTGACTGGCACTGTCTACACTTGGCCCAGGATTCTCACCCAGGGAATAAACAAAAAGTGTCTTCAAGGCAGAGGGGAGAAGTCCCCAGCTGGCTTCCAGGCCTGGGCAGATACCATATAGTGCTGTCAAGCCCCCTCACAAAGCAGTGTCCTCTTTTTCTTCCCAAATCTCTGCCATCCTTTATCCTGTCCCAGATGTCCTTTCACAACTGCCCAGTCCCACCTGATTCATGTTTGTAATACTCTCAATTAAAAAATTAGTAATTAAAATGAAGCCCTCTTTTCCCATATTACTCCCAGCCATTACACTGCTCCATCTGCCCATTCCCAGATCCCTTCTTGTTTTTAAAAGACTCATTAGCATGTGATCTTGTCTCTGCCAGGATTCCCCAGTGCCATCTGCTCCCTTCCTAGATGATCAGTCTCGCTCAGATCACTGTTTACCGCACTTAAAAATATGACACATTTTCTAAGCACCGGTCTTGGAGGATGCTGTTGTGTTTCTCTACCAAAGTCAGTGGCTATCAGTCTCTTGCCACATTGACCCTCGTCCTTAGATGCCCTGATGCATTCCCAGAACTCTGGGGGTTTTGTGGTGGCAGCAGATCTGTGTCCCTCAGGCTATACAGCCACATGCTGTGCTATAATTTGTTTAAGACATTTAGCACCTCCCCAAATTCAGCATCCTCTTTGTGGGAACAATTTGTGTCCATCTTAATTCCTGCAGCATAAAATTACTAAGTTCATGTTGTATTGCTTTGAAGAGTTTTTAAAAAGAGATTTTTCATGCATATCACCTATTGGTCCTCATGGTTATTTTTATGGACGTTATAAATAGAAGAAGTAAGCAGTGTAATGCTGAAAAATTCTTTTGGGAAAACAGCAATAGTGTTTACCTCCATCATCTGAGAAATGTATTGTAGGAAGAACTAGCATCTTTGATTTATTGTAGGATGAACTAGCATCATATTGTAGGATGTTCTAACATCTTTCCAGACGTTTGAGCCCAGGACAAACGGGTGACTGTCAATACTTCACTATAGGCCTATTCCATTGAGTGAAATGGGATCTGCCAAAGTTGTTCATGCCTGCCTACCTTCCCAGAAATGATCTGGGTCCTTTCTTCAGTAACTCAGACTTCCAAAAAATGCCTGGACATTCACTGAGATCCAAGAGTTTCATGTTCAGACATCTTAATAGCACAGCAGTGTGTGAATGTCCTCCCATAGAGCCCACCAAAAGCTCCACATTTTACATGGGACTGCACTAATCCTACTTTAGACCAGAAAAAATCAAGGAGCATTGTAAGCCTCCTTCTTTAGGTTTATACCCCTAACACAAGGATGTAACTTCCAGTGCTAATTTTCATGGAGTTGACCCCTTTTAAGATCCTATTCTGCAATACTGGGAGAAAAACTTGCTCCAAATCATGTGAAATAGGCAGCTAAATTTGAGATCAAGGAGTACAAACATGTACAAAAACTTAGAAAACTGTAAACAACTAAGTTTTTGGATAGATAACTGATGGTTATGAAATCTGTCACTGCAAACATGGTGGGTTGTTAAACCTGAAAATATGCTTATTCACTGTAGTGGAGATTGCCCTTGATGGAATCTGAGAGTGAGGCAGGGACAACTTGTTCCCTATGATTTGTAAATACACAGATAATTAATGGGCAAATGTTTTCAGGAACTATGTAAACTGAAAAAGCAGATTTTTAACTTGATAATTGAGTGTCTTCAATGCAGCGGTGTTTTGACAATATGCATAAATTTGCTGATGCTATCTGTGAAGAATTGCAACTGCTTTTAGCACAGATGAAAGCTAGGACCTGAACGATGCCCTGTCCTCTTCCCTGGCTGGACTTGATATACATATTTATTAGAAGTAACCCTCTTATTGGCATGTTTTTTTCCCTGTCCTTATCCTCCAAATTAAATTGATTTAAAAAGAAAAAGCATACGAAAATGAAAATCTCTATTATACTTTCAGAGAAAGAATTTATAGTCATACTCCCACATACAAACCAAACCCTCCCAATGTTTATCTAATAAAAAGATTGTATTGTATAAAAAGAATATAGTAAGACTATGGCTTCAATGCAATCATATCAGAGGGATGGGTGTACAAACCTTCCCTTGATTTCTCTTAGGCTGCTGCAAAAATGGGAGAAATCATAAGTGATGATGGGGTTCTAACCTCTCTTTAAAACTATTCCCACATTTAAAATCACTTTTGCAAAAGTTTGGGAAACACTGCAAGACTGACACTGGCTTGTGCTGACCTAGAACCTGCAGGAACCTACTTTGTCAAAATTTCACTTCAGACAGTGATGAGTCTAGTTTCCTTGCTGCCCTTAATAAGCTTAGGCCATAAATTCTTTGTGTAGTGGCCCTCCTAGCATTCTATTCCTTGTTCCTGTTGCCAGATGTGATCCTGTGGTTCAAATAAACAAGCTCATTTTAGGGGATAACATCACATTAGGCAAGGTATGCCTTCTTTTCCAAACAGAACTTCCTACCTAGTTGTCTAACAAAGCAAGAAATCCAACATTTCTACTTTACTGAGAATTCTCCCACTGAGCCACCTAAATTGCAAACATATATATATATATATATATATATATATATTACTACTTTTATAGCTAAGCAAGAATTACTGTAACATCAAGAACCTAAGCTTGCCCTAATTACCTAGAAACTTTTCCAAATTCCTATCACCATGGGAAAATAAAAAAACCAAATAAAACTGAAGCATATCAGTGTTATGAATGTAATTTTCCACCTAAATGAGACTGAAATTTTAGTATTACAAAAGAAAAAAATCAGATACAAAAGAACCCATTCTCATTGCATAGTACCTCTATTGTACTTTGAACACATACATTTCATAAATAACCAGTTACAGGCACATAAAATATCGAAATGTATTGCAAAAAGTTATGTGATTCCAGGTTTTAAATTGAATATAAACTCAAGAGAAGTGGTTTCTGTACATAAGCAATGACTACTAATGAAAAAGACTGAGATAAAGGTGTGAGTCTTAGTGATCACATATATCTGGATATGTGAACTTGGCTCAACAATTTACTTTGATTCACTGGGTCTTTGTTTAATTCAGTTAGCATTTAATACTGATCATATGATATTTGCTACAGAACTGAGTTTTCTGGTTTCAGTGAATTTCTTCTGGTACTTTGCCTCCAAAACATACTTTAAGACTATCACCATGATGTCACCCAATTCAGCATCTTGCCATAGCAATTTCTTTTCCTGAGTCATTATTCCCTGTCACAGCAGGTTTCACATCTGCGAATTGTCACTGTATTTTCTTTTTGGTCGCACTTTAGTTGGTAGCATAGCTGCAGAAGTGGAAGGTTTATATACGAAGCCCTGCAGTTCACCCCAAATCAATGGTCACTGCTTTCTAGTCACCTACACTGAGCTGGGCTGTGCTGCTGACTTGCTGATTTTCTGCAGTATAATTGGATTTATTAGCATGTTTCCATGAATGAGTTTGGTTTCACTTGTGAATTTCCTCCTCTAGACCAATTAGTTATCATCATTATCATTACATCACCATCTTCATAATTAAGATTTTTACCCCTATGAATTGAGACAATTGCTATACCCTTAGATTTGGCCACAGTAGCAGGTGAGTGACATTTATTCTTGGGTGCTGCCATCTACTATGGTTTCTGGGGTGTTCAAGCTGGTACTTGCATCCTAGCATGTCACTTTGAAAAGTGCTACTACCTGGAATTGTTACTGGACAGAAGGATGGGGTAGGCTGAAGTGAAAACAAGGAAAGATGATGCAGGAATTGCTTGTATATAAAGTCGTTTCTCACAAGTGATAGCCCTGTGATTTGACCTGTTTACTTCATATTTAAATTAAATGCCACCTTGACTTTACAACAACAACAAATTATTACAAATGGGAGAGCTCCCCTTTCCTGTCAGACTTTAATATTTTTATTACTATTTTGCAAAGATTTATAGGTAATGATGCAGCATAACAGCATCTTTTAAAGAAACATGAATCTAAACAGCATAACAGCATGGCTAATTACAAACCCTTCCTGTCATAATGTTTGGCCTATGTAATCACTGCTAAATACACACTATCAGTGCAAAGTAGTTTCTTCAGAGTGAAAAAGGAGGAAATTATGGAAAAAATGTGATTTCTTTTGAAAAGACAGTGAGCTAACATTCAGAGGATATGATGTACAATGAAAGAGAGGTAGTAAATGCATAAAATCTCCTCATTGCCAGTTCCTCTCTGTGGTGACTAACTGTACCACGATTTACTGTGCAGCCTTGAACATGAAGGAGAAATTGAATTCATCACCTTCTCGGCACTGTCGTAGTCATTCGTCGGTATTTCAAATCAAGGGAGGAAAGTGACTCATTGGGATGCTGCTCAGTATGCCAATGGAGTACATAAATACCTCCCTTAACCACAGAGGGAGTATTACCAAAACAAATAAAAAATCAGTAATACAGATGTGCTCAAAAAAAGGAAAAATACCTTTGAGGAATAATAAGACTTTGGCATATGCAGTTGATGTTTGAAGTCCAACATGTAAGTGTATGCAGGAAAAGTGTGTGTTAGTATACAGAAAATTTTGTGATAAAACCTCCTGAATTCTTCATAAGGGCCTTTATATTGAATGGTAGACTTTGAAATCTTTTCAGAAAAAAAAGGTTGACTCTTCAAATAAAGTTTTAAGCGTCATAACTTCATGATATTTTCTAATTCCATATTCATCTGGATGTACATCAAATGTACTGAAAATCCCTGAATTGAGGGGAATGGAGTCCTTCTGTGCAGCCACAGGAGATACACAAGAAGCTGTTGCATGTTGCTTGTCACTGTTCCTTGGTCTCTGCCAGTCAGACTGTTTCTAGGAAGGACAGATAATTCAATTTCTATAGCCACCACACTCTGCAGGCAGGTATCCTGTGGTAATTGCCTCTGACTATTCCACCAGATTCAGGTGGTTCTTCACCAAAAACACCATTGTATATATGTGCCAAGGGGACATTGCTGCGTGGAGCCATGAGCAGATTATACCCCTGAATGTGGCCATTCTAAATGTAGATATGAGAAGGATGATTTCTTGTTTTCTGAACCCAAGTCTCACAAACCTGCAGCTGGGTTGTAGGTAAGGGTTAGCTCACAGTTAAAGTTTATGTATTCAAAAGCAGCACCTTCTCTCCTCAATTTGTGTTGATATTGGTGAACAAAACAGGGGAGATAGAGCTGTTATTGCATGGGTTTTTTTTTGGTTTCTCAGTGAAAGCCCACAACAAGCACAAGGGTCCTCTAGAGTAGCTACCTACCTGTCTGCCAGCCCATCCTCATTTGTGGGAAACTAATTGGTCTGACAGTACACTTGTAGAATTAAAAACATTTTTTTTCAGAGAATGAATGTTATTATCCTATTATCATATTGAAATGGATGTGAATGTACACAATAAATATTCCCATTCTTTAGCCTGAAGGTATGACTGGATAAAAAGGCAGTCCAAAAATGCCTTTGGGAAAGGTAGGGTCAGTACAAGGTTAAGTGAGGAGAGAAAAACTCCAAAGAGGTAGAAGGAGGATGGCTGAAGCCTACGTATGGCTTTACGTTCAGCTAATTTTCTTGGTAAATGATAGTATTGTATCCTTTCATAGTCACACTGTCTGCACTGCCTGGCTCTATGCCTGTGTAAGGCTCATGTTCCAATGCAGTTATGTGTACATTAATGACAGACCCATCTTGAGTAAGAGATCTGCTTTTTCTAGGAGACTTGGATACAAATGCACATTATTAAAATTTGACACTTCAATAACTTTTGCACAGAGCAGGGGAAGATAGTGTATAAATTAAAGAATAGCAATCTGGCCAATCTTATCTACAATCAACATCTAAGGAAAATAACATGATTGCAGGAGTGGTCTGAATATCTGTGTGATATGATTTGCTCATAAAGCAAGAAAAGAATCAGGAACTACATGCATCTCACCGAGACTCTATGTATGGCGTCTTTTCCTTAAGATTTTTCAGATGCATCTGATATTCACCTACCCTGCTTTCAGCCTGTCAATAACTTAGTGTATGAGACCTTTCTTAAGTGAAGCAATGTATGTATATCAGACTGTGAACTGTTTTAGTAATTCTCTTCTGATTGGCACCAATCACACATACTATTAAGGCACTGTAAACTTGCCTTGGTGTGAATTTTTTCTCTCCACTTTGAAAATTTCAGGCGCTGCAGACACAACACATATGTAAGAGGGACGTAGCACAGGTTAACCACTACAAACCAGTGCAAACTCACTCCTGTTCGACTGCTGCCCTGTGTGGTCTCTGCAGAAGACTGCAGGCAATCAGTGCAACCAAGTGTCTGTAGCTTAGTCACTTGCTGCTTGTTGCCATCATCATTCACACACCAACTGTGAATCAAAACATTTTCACCTTGATTTTAAAGAGGGAGACTGAAGCAATTATATTGTACCCGATCTGCTCAATTATCAAATTATCAGCTAAACTACACTTGGTTATCCACCCACAACCTGGCATACATATTCATAATTCGTTACTTGGGAAAGCTGACTCTGAGGGCCTTCTTGACAGGCCGCATCTATACCAGGATTTTTTAG